CGTTTTTCGGCGAATCAAATTTACAAACAAATGCAGATGTCCTTCCAGTTGTTGCCTCAAACAAAACATACTCGTGATACAAATACTACACTCTGTTTCCTCTTGTATTTGTCTCTTTTTTAAACAACTATTTGTCTGATTTTCCTTACTGATAGATCATAAAAGATTTAAAGTCATTTCAGATTTTACCTATGTTAATTAATCATTCTCACGTATTTACCTACAGCACGCGATAAAATAAATTATATGATATATCATATAATTTTCAGTGTTTCCTGAGACTAATGCAATGTATGCAAATTTTCTTTTATTAATTTTCATATAAAATATCTCTATATGCTACATGATAGAATTTTGATCAGGCAAATATTTTTTTAAAGCCATTTATACAAATATCAAATTTAAAATTTCGACAGCTATCGTAAGCAAGGATTTGTTTGCAAAGATGGTCAGTTAATTATTTATTTTTATTTACTATTCACTTTTAGAATAAGATATGTTAGTATTATTACTTATATGAAATTCATTTGTAGTGTTTAGAATAGAAATATGCGGATATAGATATAGATAGGTGGAAATAGAGGGTACTATTATTTATCTATGTTGAACGTTTTTCTTCGTCACGTGTTCAATAACCCTTTTTGTCGGTGAAACCGGATATATGTCTTTCAATGGGTATTCCATCTATCTTGAAAGGGCGAATAATTCTTCAGTGTCGATTTCACCAGTACGAGGCTAGCAGACTCGTTTCCCCAACTGAATGCATGTATTTCTAACGCATAAATCCATTTTGGTGTAACGCGGCAAATGTACTCATCTTCATGTGCATACGCGTCAAATTGACTTTCTACCGGTTTTCTTTGCGTTTGATGGAAGGTGCTGACGAAGGCTATTGGTAGTAATAGAAATGTGTACGACATTGAATATTGGTTTTGTATTATAGTTTTTCATTCTCTATTATTTGTTGAGTTAGAAATTGTAATGTATAAATTTTACACGTTGAAGTAGAAACATACTATTTTATTCTAAATTATTTTTCATTTTCACATGCTTATTTTTTTGTTTATTAAAGTTAGTTAGGTTTTTATAAAAAATTTGAGTTAAAATATTTTTCATGTTAGTTATTTTAGTTCTACCTTTTTTTAGATGAGTGAATCTTTGTTGTCCTTGATGTTTTTGAATTCACTGTAAACTCTCTATTCATTTGTATGTTTGTCCATAAAGAATAGATTAATGTTAATCATCTATATTTTTTGTAAACTGGTAAAGTAGGACTAAAGAAATTTGTCAATTTATAATTTAATTTGAAATAGTATTTTCGCCGACCTCGTTCTCATATCAATAAATATTATGGAATTTTCCTCTGGTATAATTTCATGAATTATCATTAGACATCCAGACGAATTAATTACATTAATTTGGAAATAAATATACAGAATTTTAGTAAGGTCTCTAATGGACAATAAATTACCCATCTTGCATTGTTCAATAAACCTATATACGAATTGTTTATTTGCTAAATCGATTAAGTTTATGAAATAAAAAGACAAACATTTTTTAGATATAAGAAGTTAAGCATTAATCACGCGCTTTGATACTAAAATTTTGAAAAATTATTAATTTTCTTCAATCAATACTTAAATAAAAAAAAGCCTTCCACTTCTATATCAAAATTGTTAAAATATAGTTTACTAGTCAATCATTCTATAGTAATTCTTTAAAACAAACATTCATAAAAGATAGGCACAGAATTCTCGTTCACAAGTGTTATTGTGATAATCAAATACTTGAAGTCCAATTTGAAATTATCACACATGCAACAAAATTTGTTGCCAACATATAAAATAATTCGTAGGTACTTTTGTGTTATGCGATCAAACAGTTTTGCAAGGTGTTCATTACGTCCTATTAGAAAAGTTGTCGTAGATTTCATGATTAGTCCACCTACATTGTGTGTGAAAAGCGATTCATAAAAGTGGCTTTTCTACGTTTAACGATCGCAATCACTTCTCATAGTAAAGTGACGGTTGCCCGTATTTCCCACGTTTCATCGGGAGGCACACACTTTTCTGTTACGCAGTTTTCAACTACTTCCTGAATACGGTGTTCCCAACTAATTACATTCTTCCGGTCGGATCGCTACTCAGTCGTGTCAATCTTCCCCTCGTTTCTTTTCAGCCCTTTCATTTCTTTATCTTTTATCTCCTGTTCCTTGCGGGTTTTCTTTCGAACTGATCGATCGAACGATTATCCATGTGCGTTTGTTTCACACAGGTATCAAATTCTTATCGTGGATACAATAGCTTTTCTTGCTTCTGTCTTATCGCCTTACGACAGACCACGGTTGACAAGGGGTATAATTAAACCTCAGTGGAAACGTGTATTATTTTGTTCAAGATCTACAAGGGCAATCGATATAATATGTTTCTATTTCCGTGACATTGTAACGCAATTGGAATAGATCAATCGAATATCTAATATTATACTAATTAAAGTAATAAATAACAAAAAGTAATAAAAGTTAATGAAGAAAACATAAAAAATAATAACATTAATAAGTAACAAAAATAATAATTAGAAAAATAAAAATAAATAATGAAAAATAATACAAATTAATATATATAATTAATACATTTTTTTTTAATTAAAATGTGTCATTTAAATTATTTATGCAGCTACCTAAAAGTTTGAATGAAATTTATTTTTATATTTAGTAGTATTATATCTAACTTATTTTAAATTAAATTTAGCATATTAAATTTTCATGATGTTTTATATCTAATGATTTTTGTATTTATAGAATTTTATTTGAAATGATAATAGGTGTTCAGAAAAATTTCAAAGCACTTACGTGTCTTGAAATTTACGTTTTATGTATTAGAAAATCTACTAGCAAGCAGATGATATTCTAATATAATAGTTGGATTAAGGTTATTGAATATATTTCTTAAATAAATATATTTATTATGTGCAGAGTTATATTATCTTAGTTGCAAGAGTCAGATTCTAACATTTTGGTAGCTAGAGATTTATATAGTGTTGTAAATTCAAAACGTCCACTATTTAATCAGTCTATTTAATTTTCTAATATTTTAGAAATTAAATTACTCACTGAATAATATAAATTTGGAAAATATTGTATTTTACATTATGGTCATCAATATTTTTCAGTTAAAAATTATTTTAGATATACGAGGAATATGTGAGATATGGAATAATTATATTACAAACATATTATAATATGTTAATAGGATTCTCATTTTCATATTATAATTTAAGAATATTTTTTATGTTAGTTATGATTACTCGATGTCTTTTCATTAGTTAAAAATAGTTTACAATTCGACATGTATTTATAGTTCAATATCACATGATGCAACGAGGACACGGTTGAACTTATTTTAGTAGTATTGTTTCAACTTCTGTTGGCACCTGAACAACTTTACCTCATAAAGTATCACGGATTAATAATATAGTTCTGAAACCGGAATTTCTCTTCAGAATTGCACGTCATTGTGGTATAACTTTTTTTTAGACATTCACATTTATTAAATTATTTTTCGATGTCATTCGATGATCATATTGAACCGCTTAATAGCAATTATTAGATAACATATACAATGTTTTTATACGTCCTCATTATTAATAAATTTGTTCGGAAGTTTCAGTAAATACTATATACAATACTATGTTACAAAATACTATGAAGTATTTTGATATAGTCAAAAATAGAACAAACTTCTTAATTCAAATGTACGAACCTTTCAAAAATCAATCATGAAGCTACAAACTTTTGTAAAAAAATCAATATTATGATCTAAATAAAAATAATATTTTCAAAATATTGAAAATACAAACATATATTCAAAATTAAGTAAAAATAAATCTTCAGTTAAATAGTTAAAAAGCTAGGTAGCTTAAACTATATAGATTAGCAGACGGCGTACTGAATCTTAAAATAATTCTACTTTAAAAGCCGGAAAACATGACTTATCACATTCTTCCTTTGCCACCGTGACGCGCAATAAATGATTCTAAACTCAGATCAATATTCTATTCGAATCTCACCAGTTGTCGCCGATCTTCCACAAAAATCTATGGTATACTCATTGCACCCTATCTATTAGATTCCATTGCAATTTTCTCGTCGTGAAAATACGTGGATCGTCGATGAAGCCGGGGCTAATGATCGAGCAGAAAAAATTTCGCAAAGCGAGCGTTCGCATTTTGGCATCGACCTACTGACCAGCGGCGTAGAAATCGGGAAGAGATCGGAAAACTGGTAGGGCCCCGCGAAATGATCGAAAGCGACTGACACGTGCGTGTTACACATATGCACATGCGCGCGTACACACGGTGCAACGCGCAGTCAGTTTCTACCTTGAAAACAAAAGGTCGATGTGTTTAATTAGCCTGGCTCAGTTCCTAATTTCCCACGATTCCGTGAAGTAACGGGAGACTCTGGCATATGAGGAGGAAGAAGAAGGCGGAGTTCGACCTTCCTCTTCTCACCTACTTTTGCCCTGATTATCCACTTTTCTTCGGACGTGGGCGAACCGTCGGAACCACGTGTTGCGTTACGGATATCCAGTTAGAACGTCTGCGATCGGCTGACGTTGCTCCTTGCGTTTCTCTTTCTGTGAAAACCACGATATCCTATGCATTACTCCATGCACAGAAATTTCTGGCTAGTTGCTTGATGTACAGTCGCTTACGAAAGTACTCGAATATTTTCATCAGAAGATAGTAATAGATGAAGTAAGCATGACGTTGGCTGACGTTGCTCTTCGTGTTCTTCTTCCTGTGAAAGCCATATTTTATGCATTATCTTAGGTACAGGAATTTGTGCAAAGTTGATTTATGTACAGTCGTTCACGAAAGTATACTAATGGATTCGTTTCAAATTTTGGATACATGAAATTTGTTACGCACTTTAGGCTCGAAGTTGTGTAATGATATCACGTCTAAAGTAATATACAACTATTATAGGGATATTATAGGAATATTTCTAGGTAAAATTAAAAAGGAAAATTCGTTGACAGATAACGAATTTGAAGAATATTGAATGTATTGTCGATGCAGATCTATAAAAGTATTCATATATATAGAAATAAAGGATGCATTGCAATTAATAGCAGAGGTGGTTTAACTAATTATGAAGTGATTTAATTAATTCAGAAATAATTCAACATATCCGAAAAGTTTCCTTTCTTCGTGGAAAGTGTGTTTATATTTAGTATTCCACGAATTCTTCAATATTTATCAAATTCTTTTCTAATTTTACTTAAACATTCTTGGCACTTGTATTTTGTTGTAGGTGCAGTGTTATTTTGAAAATTGTTCGAATACTTCCGTGAGTTACTGCATATAGAGCTTGGTTTAGGTTCGAGTTGGATTTACTTTAATTACTAGGTTTAAGAAATTGGGTGAATGTTAAAATAAAATGCTTTAGTTTTAACCAGTTTAACCAGTTTGTGAACAGCAATAAGCAAGTGTAGATCTTGAATTTTCGTATTTTTGTAGCTATACAATTTTTTAATATAAGAAATTAAGACTTATTTTCATATCTTATTATTCATATCTTATTATTTCATAATTTATTTTCATAAATTTCTTTTTGTAAATAATTTTAATACGAATTAGGTATTTCATTTGAAATTTTGTAAAATTATTTCAGCCTTGTATAAAATTGTGCAAAGTACATTATAAAATCCTAATTTACTTCTTTCTTTGTCATAAACTTTAGTAAAACATTCTGATACTTTATTTGTTGTACATTATTTATCATAATTATTAAATATATCTGAGAGTTAGATAAAAATCTAGAAATTTTATTCTTCTCTGAAGTGATATGTTAAATTGATATTTAAATTCATTGTTCAATATACTGATCCAAGATTAAACGTTTTCAAAGAATTTATAACGTTTATAAGTCAAACAGTTTTTGGTTGAAATAAAAGGAACGTTAAAGATCCTACAACGGAATGCACTTGCCCCAATAGACAGGCAGGATAATCGATAAAATTGCTATGATAATCACTACTAAAAGATAACGGTTGAAATAGCGGTGACCTGATATTCGCACCGGAATAACTTTTACCCTTTCCATGCAATTGTAACTCGCTGTGTCCACTCTACTGACCTACATATATTGCGCGTATGTGAAACATAAGTGGGGACTCTGTGTAACCAATGCTTTTTTGAAAATCAAATGAGTTCTGTCGCAGCACGATTGAAAAAATATACGGTTCACATGTAAATTAAAAATTTCTTAAGCATGCATAGAAATGTCAAAAAAAGAAAGAATGAAAATGAGTAGAATTATTCGAGTGAATTACACAATTTTTAATTAGAAAATTAAAAATATTTTAAGATACCGAGTAATAAATACGAAAGTAAATAGAAATATGACCTAAATAAATGAAAAAGAAAAGAAAACAGGCCTCCTCTTATGGTATATTAATTATATACATCAAGATTTCGAAGAAAATCTGAATTGAAAAATTTTTTCTCCTCACGTGTAAAATAAATGTGCAAAATAATTCTTCGATTTCTCGAATACTGTGTGAAAAACTCGAGTGTGGTAATAATATTGCAATAATATATCTAGGAAAAACAAGGCTATCCTTAAGACGGCCTGCTTTCTGTCCGATTGTTATCAAAATCTAATTAAAGTGCGAATGCAAGAGTAACTTCTATCATTAAATACTCTTACGAGAAATACATTTTGCGTCGATCGATGCATTTTGTACAGTTCTTGCCAAGAACCTTTGGAAACGCGCTAAGAAGTATCCTTCACGCATAATTGTGCCAACTTTCATCAAGCCGCCGTTGCAACTTGTGCGGATGAGTATAATTGAGATTCTTACCAGGCTACCTTTACCATCTTTGGACCTTAATTAAAATTGCTTTCATGAAATGATTTCCGTTTTTATTCAATTCTTCTTATTACAAGTCGTATTTCATATATTGCGTTTAATATACACGAAGTTCAATTATACGGAATAGTGTTTGATTGTATATAATTTTAAAATCGCTGCGTCTCAGTGAAATGTTATGTACCGGACAGGAGGAGGAAGTATAATTTCAGTTGTAATTGTGGTTCATAAAAATGGCAGTTAAGTAAGTCCATCCTGGTATCATCGGGGCGAGTTAATTAGATGCGTTGTTATTAATTGCTCTTTGCTTCATGAAATATTTTTCTTCGTTTTTATAATTGAAGTTTTGATAGGTTGCAAGATTCGTTCGGAAAGCCCTGTTAATGGATATTACACTTCACGTATTAACCCTTAAAAGCTGCCATAAATATTACGCCAAGCTAGTTTTTTATGTTTACAGCAAAATAGGATGGAGAATTGATTTGATTTATGATGTCAATAAATAGCTATAAAATTAATATCGTGAGTAGTTGGGTTTTTTAAATGAAAAAAAATTTGCACGAGTGAAATTTCACTTTTTAAGCTTTAGGCATAAAGTTCTCTTAAAATACCGTGTTTGACATGTAAAGAAATGGTAAAAAATTCATAAGTCAGTTATTTGTAGAAGAATTATAGCGAGTAATAAATATTGCATTTATAGTTGCAGTAATTTAAATGATAACACGCCTGAATTTGAGTACATTTATACATTTATTAAGAAAAAGAAGAAACAATGTAAACAGAAGGAATTTATAATGCTGTATTTCTTAATGTTCTTGAGCATAAAAATGTTTTTGCATTATAAAATCGGTTTAATGTTTTTACAGTTGCTCATACTCATTATTATTAATTTTAGAATTTATTTAGTATTTATTTCAAATTTCATTCACATTTTATTCCTGCCATTATATATATATATTTGCGTGAAGCTATGTTATTAAATATTATAATATCAAATTAACTTCAATTTATTGTTTCAATATATATTAATGTGTTTGACATTGAACAGAAACATTATATTTAGTCAATTTTATAACCAATTCCAATATACAATAGATTTTAAGGGTATTATTTATGAATTTCTAGTATAATCAGTAATAAAATTAACATAAAATTTCTAGACTGATAATTGTCCAATTAAATGAACATTTAAATTATCGATATGATATTCGCATGATACTCAAGTTTTCTTGCCACAAATGATTAACTATACCTCGTATGAAATAATTCTTTTTACTATAATAAACCACATTTTTTATTACTCAATAATATACGAAAATTATACAGACAGCAGACATTTAATTTATTCAGCGCAAATGCTTAATATGAAAATCATAACCAAGTTCGATAACGTTACCCCTATTCGTAATTCATATTTGAAACACGTTGCGGCTGAATGACTTCCGTTTTGACTGTACATACGTAGCAACTAAATCACGGTATAATCGCAAAACAAATATCGGCAGAGTGAAACACAAGCAGGTAGTGGCTTTGCATCTCTAGGTTTAGTGTAAGTTCAGGTTCTGCCCCGGTTTGCGGCTTTACAATTACGATGATGCGAGGCAGCAACCTACATTAAGCGGATGCAACGAACCGACAGCTCAGCTACGAAGAAACTTTTGTGGAAAACAAGGTGCTCGATAATCTTCGGCAAGCAAACGTAGACCTTTGGAAGGAGGTCGCTTACTTATTGCTGTACTATAAATATAATATATACGCTGAAAGAAGAATTAAAACGAAATCTTATATACGAAGTTCAGGAAGAAGAATTGTAACTTGGATAATAGTGAATTAAAATTTTTGTGAATTTTATTATTAATATCAAATCGTAATGGTGAATTTGTACTATTGATATAATTAATAGGTTCTATACAACTAGGAATGTACGTAATTTGGATTAAGTGTTTCGTGAATTATCGAAAATTGATTCTTTTGTAATCCTAAAGTCTTGATTTCAAGGTGGTTCATTTCAAACATAAAATTTTATTCATTGCCTACGTGTTATCAACATAGGGTAAGGCTAAATTACTGTATAAATGGATGTAGTAAAACTTTCGAAATATTTGATCATTTGTTAAATTTCTAGCGAACGAGTTGTTTTTCTCACAATTGTACTTAGGTTAAGAGATTCCTCCACATTCTACACCCAGCTACATCCGGCACCAATTATTTCAAGCATAAATTGAAAGCAGAAAGAAATTAGAAATGAGTTCTTGGACATGTTGAAAAAGTTACTTTGTGCACGCTGACGTCATTGCTTACATGACTATAATATTGCTCATATTAGCAAACACCGATTGCATCAGCGCTCGATTCTTCGTTTCCAGTTACGGTTTCACTTTTGTCTTCTTTGTTTGCCTACTCAGGACAGATGTTTGACCGGTGGAAAGCACATGTAGCAAAATGGTAGTAAGCTATCGCGCGTTTAAGTATTTCGATAGTTTGGTCAGTAAGGATAGGGCAGGAAGAGCAGACAAAGTGGCTGATAAATATGTAAATCGTATAGCACGAACCGTTACGTAGTCGTCATTTCTGTGTCTACATTCGAAACCGTTTAGTCAGTTGTTCGTTAGGGAGTGCCGTTTCGTCAGCCGTAGACACTAATTACGAATATATTCTCGATTTTTGGGGAGAACGAAGTCTGAAACAGGTCCATAGCTTAGAGACTTGTTTCCGATATACCTTGGACAGGTGTACACGAGCGAAGATATATTCTCGAAAAATTTATTTTCGCTTCCGTTATCTTCTCTAAATCTTCTCCAACAATCGTACGTTTTTGTAGTTGCACATGTACCATTTTCTATTGTCTTTGAAACGAAATTGTCGAGTGAATATTTTTACAGTTAACATCTTGTCACTGGGACTTGCCAGAAGCCGTTATCTATAAATCACGGGTCCATCTTGTCTCATTCTTCTTTTGTGCCTTCGATAATCGACATCCTGCAATAAACCTAAATACCAGACTCTTATTGCAAACCACTTTCAAATGTTCTAATCTACTCTCTTCGGGAGAGATACGACACACATATTCCAGTTTTAGACGTTTCTCTTAGCTCTCAGTTATCACTGAGTTTCTCACAAAAAAAATCCAGTGAGTCGATATGTATTTGACGTCACGAGTGACCCGTTATAATCGACAGAGATAAAGATTCTCTTTCTTAAAGGATCGAAATTATATTTGTTAGACCATTGAAAGCATCGAGAATTCAGTTGCTCTCCTGAAATAAAATATTCCCACAAAACATTTTCACTCAACTTTAAAATTCCACGAAAATACGAATTCCTCTGAGGACATGTTCATGGGACATGTCTAAGCTACGAAATCATCGAAATTCTCGATCCATCACTCCACTTTCCATTCTCTACAACGCAACTTCTCTATTCCAGACGTCGCGTAAATTACAAACCGCAGCGACTTCTAGTCGAAAAACGTCCGACGATAAATCCAGCGCTGAAGCTTGCAAAAGAACTGCAAGAGCACGAAGAAGAGGGCTAGAAATCGCTCGATTTCCGCATGTGTGTAAGCGAATGACGGATCTTCGCGTCCGGAATGTAAATCGCGTTAGAAAGCAACTTGGATCCTGTCAATCCAATGGCCAGAACAGGCTGACGACAATAAAGAGGAAAAAAGAATCGACGAAGAAGAAAAATCGTCGCGTTACGCAAGCGGACGAGGTGAAATTTCGCGAGGCCTCTCGGTTTTCATACGGTTCTCCCTCGGACGTTCATCGTGTTCTGCACGCGTGTACGGTGCATCGGCATAGCCGATGACTTCCTAGGTGATTGCGCGACAGCCGCAGGATGTGAGCTGCTTGCATTATCGTTTCCGTTACGGACTCGTGGCGTTTTCTTCTGCTTATCTACGCCCACGGGTAGCCGGTAGTTACCAAAGATTATTGATTTAACGGCTCGTGATGCCCGCGATAAAATCTGCACCACCGACTCCTAATCAAATTGTCCGCGATCCTGGTAGGCTGTTATTAATCAGCAGATCATGTAGCGTGCGTCGGCCATTTTGTTGAACAACGATGGAATTACAGGAAAAATTTTGCTGACAATAATTTCGTCTCGAAGGTATTGTATTGGTTGTTTCGGAAAACAAATACTTATATATTTCTTGTTATACTGATTTCTATTTTATTTCAAGTATTTAGATATTTTTTGCTTTCTAGTAATTTTTCGGCCCTGCTAATGGACGTATACGTTAGAAGAAAGTGGGCACCATTAGGCATATTATTAATTTATTTTTCATTTTGTTAATAGATATATATTGATATCTAATCCCTTTCTATAATCTTGAATATTAATTAATTTCTGTTTTATCAATTAATACTGAAAGGATAGTAGTATTTTATTCACTTCACATGACATCCCGCAGAATGTGTAAGTTTCTTTAGTTCTGTGTTGTACTAGTTTTTATTTTACTTTGGCACTTTAAGATTTTTTTTTCTGATTTTTGTTTTGAGCTAGGTAAATTTTGTCATTTTCGAACTTGTTTTGCATGATGTGATTGTACTTCGAATAGTTCAGGTTTAAATGGGCTTTTGTTAGCTGGAGAAGATCTCTCTGTGTAATTTTGAAATGCTCGTCCCCAATATGTGCCATATCTACTTGATTTCTTTTAAAAAAAATTACTATTGTTCATAGTTGTTATTGTCTGCAACTATGTATATATACGTTTAGTCGGTTACATTATGATCTTGATAGATCTTGTAGAAGATAATTGTGATTCACACACTTCTATATATGTTCTTATTAGAGTGATACTTAAAAGGATTAATTCCTAATGTTTTTATTGTTAGTAGATTTATGGCTGATGTAGTTGATTAACAACACTACTTAATCCATTATGCCCCAAAATTGCACAAACGCAATATTTTGTAACTTTATAATTACGACACTAACCATTTTCTCATTCCACTTAAGTTACAAATATACGGTTGAAATTAAAAATAAAAATACACGATTTAATAGATTAAGAAAACGATACTCTATAATCATATTTATCAAAAGATATTAAAAAATTTAAAAAAGGAAACGAAACTGTTTTTGAATTCAATTATCTATTTCTCCGTTCAATGTAAGATTTTCTCCCAGCAAACTGGAGGCGAAGAAATCTTTTATTTGACGACACCTTTAACAATCGATGAAACAAGAAACCGATCGTACCCATCGATCGTCGATTCTAATTGCGTAAAGCAAACGGTAGAAAGACAAAAGGCAGGAGAAAAAGAATAAAACAAAAAAGAAAAGAAACGGGAAAGGTTGAATCGGCGAGCTGAATGTCTATTCACGTTCACGGAGGTGACGAGGCTCTCGCCGGCCATTGAAATCATCGGCTTGAAAACTCCAACGCTCGATGAGGCAACGTCCCGCTTTGCAATGACTTTAATGCAGCTCGTGCGTGATGACGTGAGTTGCATGTCCCACTGGAAGCCTGTAACAACACCATGAGCCACGCTCGCCCGCGGTGCCCACCGTGTACACTGATTGCCAAGCGAGCAATAAAACGTTGCATTATTCGTGTAATTAGTCACGAAAGATTGAAGTGCGATCATCGTTCGCGTTATTCTTCAAGGGTAGGGAAAAGATAATTGATCATACGTGGAAGTCGAGTGCGATCAAACCGATCCAAGGTGTTCTCACTTTGATTTTCAACTTCATCCGCTCTAACCACCATGTCTCTGGAATTACCCGAGCAAGTGTGATCGAATTTATACATGGTGGATGAATTGCGATGCTCTAATGAAACTCGAGTATTTCCTCGATATCATCCGTTTCTTTCAATTCTTATTCTTCCCTTCTACTTGTTTTCCCAGTGCCATGTTTATTAAATATGATTAAAAGCATAAGCCTACTCGTTATTATCATTAGTCTTTCCGTGTTACGCCGATGCTTAGCACATTAAGACCTGATAAACGTTGCTAGTTACCTGATAATTGTGGCGTCTCTGTATCGAATTGCAGGCTGCAACGGTGCCGGATGCGGTTACCCTGGAGCTCCTGCACACAGTACCGTTCGGTTCACGGGAACAGGTGCCGAGGACGTTATAGACGAGGAAGATGCCCTTCTAAAGGACACGGTACTGCCTGTAGGTACAGTGGCTACGTATTCTTGCGAACGAGGCTTCGAACTTCTTGGCCCTGCTCGGAGACAATGCCAGGCTGATGGCTCTTGGACACCGGAAGGGGTACCATTTTGTGGTAAGTCTATACGTTTTCTTTTTATAATTATTGGAGTTTAGTAAAACGTCAATTATTCGAATTAATTGGGAATAAATCTGCTCGGTTTTGTGGTCGAACGGTTTGAAAGTACCAAATTTTTAATTATGTCATAAATGAAACAAGAATCAAGAAATTTTTAAATAGAAGTGCCTTTTATGCACTAAATTAAATAAATACTGCATAAAATATGAATGACACGTTTTTAGATACTGGTAAGTTTCTTTTCGAGTGGATTGCTTTTAAAATAAATATTTGTACGGTATATACTTCTATCTGGTATTTTGCTCGTTGCAATACCAGGTGCATTTTCACTATATTATACTAGTCGTGTGGACTAATACTACATTTCGTCATATATTTATTTGTGTTACCACTTGTGTCAAACGATGATGAAATAATATCATTGTCATTCATAGTTTCATATCCGGGATTATTTCTATCTATGTTCATGCATTTGTCATCATCGCTAGAATAGTTTCCAATTTTAGTTCTACTGCATACCCAATTTTTTATTATAATTCGTTATTGGCTTCAATTTTTAAAATTAAGTCACCTATGCGTTCATATATAACTTATCCTCTAGTCGAAGAATCGAGAGCCATTTAGATACTTGAAATTAGGATAAACGACGTTCAACTATATTTTTTTACCAGTCGTTGTAAGACACGAGATTATATATGTTCTTCGAGCTAATGCTGGTTATTTTAGATTTTTTTATTTGTAATTCTTACGTTGGGAGGTGACTAGGGTATGCAGAGTTGAATAAAAATGAGGAGATAATATTGTATGTAAAAGGCACAGCGAATACATTGCATTGACAAAAGAATTCTTGGAGGAGTTGTCAGGATAGGCATGTAACGGGGAGGCAAATACGTTCGCGGATGTGGGCTTAAGAGAAAGTTCGACGTTCCGAGGAAACTTATGCGTACTTCCGGTCACGCCTGTATGAAATGCTTTACTGAATTGCGAATTGCTATTTATAAAATCAAGAATAATTTAAAAATCTGATATTCCTAATGCAACAATTGCTTTTAAGTATACTTTTGATATATTTAAAGATACATAATAAACAGAAGTTTGTTGATTTTATTTACATCAACTTTAAATATTATGAAAATTATTGTAATCTTCTTTTGCGGTAGTATATTAAAAATTTCATAGCAGTTGCTCTCTATAAATGAGAATTACGTGTTCTGAATATTTCATTTCAGAAGAATATTCTAAATGTACACAGAAATTAAATCCATGATGACTTGCTTTAGTATGAAATACCTTTCAATTTTTTCTTGATTTTTTTCTCAAAGTACGCATTATTTTCTTTACAAAATTAAATCAGAGTGTAACGTTCTTTTTTATTTTGAATTTTCAATCCACGTCTAATCAAAGAGACACAGACAGGGTCTTTCCTTCCAATTTTTGAAACAATGAGAAAATTAAGGCAATTTCTGAAATGTTTGCATAAAAAGAAAATCTCTGGAAGGAGAGCGTAACAACGTTCTCTTGTCTACGTTCGCCATACAAAATTTCGGGAGGCAAGTGACCTGATTCAGAATGTCCTTGACCGAGGAGACCGACGACAGTAGAAGAAATGCCAAAGATAGTGGGGGCATTACACCGTTAAGTCTGAACCTGTTACCTCCTAAGAACGCCCGCGGCCTCCTCAACCTGGTGCGCATTCCTGACATAGGTTCACCATTTCGTCCTTCCCGGACCAGTTCGATTTTTTCTCTCTCGGTGTCCCAAACTTTTGGGAATATCTCTGAGGCTAAAAAATCGCTAGGCATGTCTTATACACAAATAACGTCGCACGTCAAATATTCGAAGCTTCCTCCGCTCAAGTGCCTCTGTCAGGATCTCAGACGAATAAAATTAGCTTGAGGAATAACATAAATTAGACATAAAGAACGTAGAAGAAAATGAGACTTGTAAATTTATTTGATGTTGGAATGCTCGTAGAACGTTAGGTATCTGATTGGATGATAAATTTATTTGAATAGCCAATAATTTGCAATGTCAAGTATTCAGGGTATAAATAATTTGTATTCTGGTAGAAGGTTGTAAGATTAATTAAATTAGGCAAAGAATTATTTTTTTCTTGCTGCGTAGAATAAATAATTAATTCATTGTTAATCTTTGATAAAATCGTGTGTGATTATATTCATAGGAAAGAACCAAATTTAATCAAGAGTCAAGAATTTTGTTATTCTCTGATCGAGAAATTAGTGATCATAGGATTACAGGTAGTTAAGAGATGAAGTTTAACTGTACTGGCAAAAACAAACCATCTGTATCCCAAGTTACTCAACCAAAACTGCTTTGAATGGTGAGAATCTCAAAACGTAAAGAACAAATCGTGGACTTTTTTATTACCAAGGTTCAATGAACTTGGGAAGATATAAATTGTAGAACGGTACTAGATCTCAAAAAAGGAGGCTGATGATAATAGACATACGTTGAATGTTTTGTTTCTTTTCTTACGTTACTTATGGGAGTACGAAATAGAGAGTACACTATATATTTAAAAGGGAATTAACGTGAATCTTCTTGAACGATTGTTACGTTATGTAGCGTGTTGAGTCTTGTCAAAATGATCATACCTTGAAACATATTTTACTGCTGAAAAGCAAAGCAAGAGATTACCTAATTGAATTAATGTTATTGCTTAGTCAGCATAAATACTTTAAACATTGTACCTTGCGTCATGAACGAAATATAAAATATTTATAAAAATTATTTTGTCAAGGACGCGACATGTCTTCCTTTCTTTTCATATTTGGCTTATCTTCAAAATTAATTAACGTAATCCAGAAAATTGAATGACTGTAACATTTTAAAGCGTTAGTATTATAATATCAAAGACACGTTACTTATTTATTTTTTGGCACATTTATTACAATTTATTAATTTTGTAAATTAATTTTATAAATTTATAAAATTTGGAAATATGCAAATTTTGATATACTAATTTACAATTTTATTTTTATTTTTAATAAAAATAAAGTAAAAATGTTCCACGTATAATAAGCCTCCAAAGTGTTCTATACTATAAGTATTAAGCTGCAAAATTTTTCCTCAAAATTATACTACATACATCTACAAGAGGTAACCCCGATCCAAAAGACCAAAGTATCATAGGAGGTTCAGAACTAGGTCATCGTGACACGAATTAGAAGTATACTCGTGATACCGACGCGCTTCAACGACCACAAGGACAGTCCTCCACCTTATTCAGAGCATTTTTGTAGCTGAAGAACTGCTCCCGCTCTAACTACCCGATTACTTAGAACGTTTGTTCGAACACAATCAACGGTCAATTATCCATGCTTGCTAGAGAATGGACACAGAAGAAACGACACAAGAATTTCGACGTATCTACTATTTTAATCGGCTATAAATTAGTATGAGATCAACGCATATAAGTCAGGGGCCTATAAAATACATGTAATCGATTATAAAGTGTGCCTCCTGGAAAGTAGTTCCATCGCGAATCCAGGACCCCATCAATCCGTTTACCGTTGCTAAACTCTTTCGTGCAATCTGTGCCTTGGAAAAACGTGCCAATCTTTCAAATTGTTCATAATGCAGGTATCTGCTTGTTAGAAGCAGCACCAGTGTCTATTGGCTATTATATTAGAACACTGGATCCGCGCGAAGAGGATCTCTATGTGTCAGAATCTTTGGGAAGAAACGGGTTTCTGTTACTACCTCATAGGTACAGTTAAGATTAGTATCACACAGGGGCAAAAATTTTTAGTCGAAATTAGTGATTTATCGAGAAGTGATCTGTAAGTTGGGAAATTTTTATGGCTAGAATAGTAAGCAATGAGTTATTCCGATGTTTGAAGTATAGTCGATTATACAACATAGCGAAGCTTGGTTGATATTATAATTAACCTTACAGAAGGTTTGAACATTCTTTAAAATCTATAGGAATGAGCAAACCCTAGAAAATTCTCTAGGAGTTAATATTTTTCTTTACACGAGCTAGATTGTTTTTCATATTAGCATTTGAGGAGTTCCTTAACTTTTTCCTATGTATATCTATTTTTACATTGTATTTTTATATTTTATATTTTGTATCTTATCTATTCTCTATTTTGTATTTTTCCTATGTAAATTTCTTTTTTTGTTTAATTTCCATATTTTTATAAAGTTTCGTATGTGTGTTTTACAGTGACTGGTTATAAAAATGTTTTTCAAACTTTTAGATCTCCAATTATTAAATTTGTATTTTATATTTAAATATAAAATACTTTTTTATGAAATGTCAAATGTGTCTCACATCAGTTATTGTATAAATATTCCTTAAAAGTTCGTGATTTTAACACATTGAAGTTGGAACCATACGTATGCTATAAAACTATTTGCTAAGTACAATCCAAGGCATACACATATAAATCTGTTAATGAGTGTTGTTACTAGAATAATCGTTAATAGTGGAATGTTGGAAATGTTTCATGAAAGGATACAGTTTACAACCGGAAACGTCGAAGAATATTGATTGCACAGCCCTCGATTCTGAAAGCTTCAAGGATTTCACACGATCAGAGTGGCCTCCATAACCGATCATACGCGTGTTTCGCTGTTAGTTGTTTTATACCTTAGAGCATATCGGATTGATATCAGTTTAATTCAGAAAAATGAAGTATAAAACAAACCATACATCTCAAAAGGGAAAAAGTGTTTAAATTAAATTTAGTTTCTTTCAATAGTTTTATATACACCATTTACACATTTTAATTAGAGAACACGTGTTTTAATAGCATTGATATAATGATATGAAGTATATTTAATTATAAGCATCAGGTTGTGTTTCATTTTGTTTGGTAATCAAACGTTTTAAATGGTACTGGCTCTTCTAAGTTCATCAGAAGGTGTTTCAACTGCTCAAGGGAAAACGTACCACTTTGGTGATTTGAACCAGCAGACCTGAACAGCCAATGAAGCGATATTTAAAGCTTAGTCGTTATTCTAACTAG